AATTTAAGACTTATATGCTTTTGTCATGAATACCATTATGAGAACTGGACTAAATTGGAAAATGGGACCACATGGGAAGTGCCAGCTTTCTAATAAAAAAGAATCATCAAAATCGATTCACCCAGTCAAAAGCTATAAGGTAACAAACATAAAAAAAAAACATACAGTCGAATTGAGAACCTCCTCCTTTTTAGAAGTCGGTTAATAAATTAGATAAATTAGTTCGACTCACCAAAATGCTGGTTTTAAGCAGAAACAACCAACCAATAGAGCCCACAAAAACTAAAATGAATACTTTTTTTTTTTAAAACCAAGATAATTCAGATATTTGCTAATTGTAGCATGATTTTTTCTGGCCATAGGGTGGATTACAAGCACGCAAAGGTTGATACCACGATCCTGCACATTTCTGCCATTTTCTGACTAAAGTTCAGTTCATAGATTCGATTTTCTTAAGGTCTTGTTTTTTATAAAAATAATCTAATATAGCTTGAGCCCATACCAAGTAAAACCCTAATATTACCCTTAGAATAACCATGTTGAAGATTCAGGGATCGAACGTTAATTGGATGTCTATTGTATCCTCCAAGCCCTGTAAAGGCGCATTAATTGGACACAATAATCAATTTTGATCCCGGCCGATTTCTATGAGCTGTATTAATAGCTAAATCTTCTTATGGTCCACATTTCTTTTATATTCCTTGTATCCCTCATTATAATTAATACACGCATCTAATCTTCTCAGAATCGGTTATTATTTGAAATCATGCTTCCATTATCAGAAATAGATTAATCCAATAACCGCTTGAATAAGTTAGGGAAAGTTGATGAAATGGATAAGCTTTCTTTGAAATTCATACATTGGATTTTCGTAAATGAATAGCCAGATTATATAAGCTTGTTCTTTTTTTAAAAGAGACACAATATATTCGGTAATAATCTTAAAAGAAATTTATCAGTATCATTCCTACGTCAATAAGACAGTCCATCACGATTGTGTGTTAATGATTTAAGTGAGTTTATTTTGATACTTAAATACGTAAAGAAAAACCTTTAGTTTTAAAAATAGATTTTTCTAAGACAAATTTACTTATATGTCTGTCATTCAGTGAAGAGAGTAATTCAATTTTACGTAGTATATTACTACTGATGTATTGCAACTTCAGCTATTAGATATTCAAAACTATGAACTGACCCACTAAAGTTGGAAAACACTCTGCAAAAATACTTTTTCCGCATTTATATTTACAAAAAATCAATATGTGTCTGGTCTATGTTGCCTGTCACTAAAATAGTCGAGCAAATGATGTGTGTTTGAGATTCGCTTGCAATGGAAATCATATAAGCGATGAGGTCGTTAATAATTCGACGTGCATTCCTAATTGATTGTACTAAATGCGGGCTCGTGAACTATGTCAAAGCGACGTGTATATCGTAATTCTAATCCTCTTACTCATATGATATACAATGTGTGCAAACAACCCACCGTATTGTTACGCGCTGGGTTTCGGGATAAATAAAATTCTACCGAATTACAAGTTAACACTGTATTCGATACTCAGAGCACTTAAAACACTTTAAAATTCTTAATTCGCTTCTTCCGCTTCGCTTCAGGTGATCCGTTCGCTGTTTCGCTTCGAGTAATTACGATTACTAACTGACTGCGTGTCATATCTACAACGCTTTTACAGTCGAAACGAAATACCTAGAATCGTCGAGAATATTTCACACCAGTCGAGTATTGTGTTTCCGCCATCTGACAATAGATGGCGTTGTACTTCTCGAGCGCTCTAGATGCTACTAGACGACGTTACTCTTACCGGCGTAGCAGTAATAAGCAGTTAACGTTCAAGTAAAAATGAAGATGCCGCCCAGCTAAAAAACTAAGACTATTTAAAACGATATTAGTATTTTTTCTATAACCGTTCAAACCGAAAGGCGGTAGAGATATGTAGGATTGTGGAAATTCAACCAAGCGGCTCTACGATAGGGCATTAAGCTGGAAAAATAGATGCGTGTGATAGATAGTAAGAATAAGGAATTGGAATAAGGAACAGGTTATTGAATTATTTTACCACAGAGAAACCAGCCGGAACTGAAGTATTTTTATAAATCGTAGTTTTGCTAACTAGTATCAGTAGTGGATCTTATGACTCAAAATACTACATATCTGTATCTTTTTGAAAGATATGTAAGATCTATATGCTCACTCACGTTAGATTTTATTTATTTTGGTCATCAAAAATCATGGCAATTGTGTTAAGCCAAAAGTTGCATGTTTTTTTTTTTTGTTTTGGATAGTTATGTTGTGGAAGGTGTTAGCGACTACAAATATCACCTACTCATCCTCAAGGCATGGGACAGTTGTCCACGTAACGACCGTTGGTTTTCTAGTTTGGGTAGCTATTTGTCGGTCATTCCTACTCAGCCAACTGTTTCGTTTTTATTCACATTAGGCTATAGAATCCTTAATTGCTTAGGTTGGTGGATGGCCCACTTGATGTTAAGTTATTACCGGAACCCATAGACATCTAGAGATATGAGTTCTAAGATCTCAGTATAGTTACAACGGCTGCTCCACCCCTCAAACCGAAACGCATTACTGCTTCACGGCCGAAATAGGCAGGGCGGTGGTACCTACCCGTGCGGACTCACAAGACGTCTTACTACCAGTAATTACGCAAATTATAATTTTGCGGGTATGATTTTTACTACACGATGTTACGATATTCCTTTAACGTGAAAGTCAATCGTGAACAATTGTTAAGTACGTATTTCATTAGAAAAATTGGTACCCGCCTGCGGGATTCGAACACCGGTGCATCGCAAGATACGAATGCGAATGCGAAACAGGACGTCTTATCTTTTAGGCCACGACGACTTCTATAGACGCTTTTGATAATATAATTTTTGTAGAATTTAAGTAAACATGTGTTTAGCAATAAAAACTTAACAATGTACTAACAACTTAGTTGGTTTTTTTATTTTTTTTATTGCTTATATGGGTGGACGAGCTCACAGCCCACCTGGTGTTAAGTGGTTACTGGAGCCCATAGACATCTACAACGTAAATGCGCCATCCACCTTGAGATATAAGTTGTAAGGTCTCAGTATGGTCACAACGGCTGCCCCACCCTTCAAACCGAAACGCATTACTGCTTCACGGCAGAAATAGGCAGGGCGGTGGTACCTACCCGCGCGGACTCACAACAGGTCCTACCACCAGTAATTACGCAAATTATAATTTTGCGGGTTTCACTTTTATTACACGATGCTATTCCTTCACCGTGGAAGTCAATCGTGAACATTTGTTGAGTACGTATTTCATTAGAAAAATTGGTACCCGCCTGTGGGATTCGAACACCGGTGCATCACTTCAACACGAATGCACCGGACGTCTTATCTTTTAGGCCACGACGACTTCAAATGGATACATGGTATGGTGCTCTGGGAATTTATATATTCCAACTACATAAATCGAGGCTCCGCAAAGTTTATAGTTTATCATTCAGTTCAGCTGTAAGTCGTGTCTTCGCATAATATTAGGTGACACAAACATGTTGCAACAACAAACAATAACATTTTGTTGTTTCGTCATGATAAACGCAAACGCTAAGGTACAAATCGTGTTAGGAAAGTGAATATTCTCGTAAGAATTAAAATGTACAGGACATTGGGAGCTATAACAATTATATTACTGGTGGTAGGAAATCTTGTGAGTCCGCTCGGGTAGGTACCACCACCCTGCCTATTTCTGCCGTGAAGCAGTAATGCGTTTCAGCTTGAAGGGTGGGGCAGCCGTTGTAACTATACTGAGATCTTAGAACTTATATCTCAAGGTGGGTGGCGCATTTACGTCGTAGATGTCTATGGGCTCCAGTAACCACTTAACACCAGGTGGGCTGTGAGCTCGTTCACTCATCTAAGCTATAAATATATATATATATATATATATATCATTTCTGCTCCTTTGTATTTCAAGTGGTCCAATTATCCTAGTTGTGTGTGTGCGTGTGCGCGTGTGTGCATGTGCGCGTGTGCGCGCGCGTGTGTATGTGTAAATGTCGACTGTAAAGTGTCGACTGTTATCTTATTGGGATTTTAAGGCCCTTTTGGGATTCCTTGATCTAGATAAAAAAATCGTTGTCAAACAAATTCGATCGGAAAATTTAGAATTCCATAATGTATGATATAACCATGTATAAGCATTTATTTTTAAACATTCCGAAAATTCCCCATACAGATTAAGTTAATTCCAATAGTTTCAGCTCAACAGCAATTAATTCACGGCGAAATGAGCTTGCGATTTTTCATTTACATTCCATTAAAATTAAATAAATCTCATGAGTAATTTTCATGGAATGAATTCAGATTTGAGTAATATGCATTATTATTTACTTTTGTGTATAGGTGTATACTGAATGTGATTACTTTTTAGTTGAAATTGTTTCTAGTTTCTCAAAGACGTCAACTACCTGATAAAGTTTCCCACCTTGAGACATTAATAAAATGAATGAAAGTCTGAATTCTTTTGTAAAATATTTAGGCCTTTATATTATATTTATGTTATTGACATATGAGCTCTGTTTATCTTCGATTCACGTACTTGTCTCAAATAGAAAAATAAGCAAAGACAATATAGTTAAACACCTTGTCTATTCAGCTTGTATTCCTCTTGACTTTCTCTTTTTGTTTTTTTAGTATATTATTATATTATTGGTAAGCTTAAGTGTTATCCGTTTTTTTAAATCCGGAATGAAACAAAAAAAAACATATTAAAATAAATGGTGATTATTTTAAATCATTGCTGTTTCCACGTATTCTCTTACAATAATTTCGCATCAACAAACATTTCCTTTCGAAATAGTTTTGCTTAATTTAAAACAATATTTAATCGTTTTAAATTATGTTTCTGAATTCACCGTTTTTAGTTTAAAAAAAAAAGCAATTAACTTTAGACTACAGGCCAATTTAAAATTGAATCACAATTAAAAACGTACCTGAAAATGCGTCTGGACAACGACAGCTCTGAAGACGATCGAAGCGTCTTGAACCCTCGTCTCCAAAGGTTTCCCGGCAAACTTCGGACACTGACTGTCACAAACTATTGTCCGGCAAAACAACAGAACTAACACTAAGAGATCCCTGTTCGTGATGCCCATCGTTGGGCTAACAAACGCCATTTTGCTTAATGCGAAATCACATTATATTTAGCGTCCAACGCACCGCCATTTGTCTTGGTCTTCGCTTCCTTTGACGTTTCCTCGCTTGCATTTTTTATCTGAAACAACGAAAGAAAATATCACTTAACACATAACACATATGGGCTCTGCATATGTCGAAGCGACTGACAATATTATCAATATCTTGGCCACTCATCGTGAGTTCAATTCAGGGATTCGGACGACAAATCATTATGTCCTTGATATTTCGACTTCACAATTAATGACGACACACAACACAGTTCTTGGGTGTACTATGATCAACTCAAGACTTTCAAGACAAGACAAGACAAGACAACAACTTACAAGACGTCTTACCATCATATCATCATTCTACTGCCCTCCTCCCAATCACCTAAGGGTTGGTGCAACATGTTTTCTCCTTCCACACTCCTGTATCATATATCAATGTTCTCTATAACTCCTTTATCATATCATATCGTATCACAACAATCTTTTTTTGGTGGGAAACTTAGTATCACAACTTTGTTGTGATCTGTAAAATGTTTTGTGTTCTGTGATGGGTATTTGCTAAACGTCTACTAATCTAAGCCAAAAATTGTTGTTTGCTGTTTAAATTACTTTGGTTGGTAAAAATATTTTTACAACCCGCACATCTGGCGGCGTCAGATCATTTATTTGACCATAACTCGTATGGTTAATGCCTCGGAAAATACGCTGAGTCGAAACAAGGGGTGCGCTATCCGTCAATCACATCCCCATAAAATATGTTCATAACTTATTTTATTTTTTTGACATCAGTCATATTTTTTTGCGAATTTCGATTTTGTGAAACTTTTCATTAGAATTTTCAAAGAATTTTGAAGTGAAACTTCTGTAGGTGCGTTGAGAGTAAAATTTTAATTCGCGACAGATTCATTACGGCGAGAGAGAAAAGATACAATTTAGGATGAGCGAGAGTGAGAAAATAAACAAAGTGTCTCGCAAACCACTCGACCATGGAGACAGGGAAAGGATAAACCGAACTAGGTCGTTTCTCTTATACACAGCATTCCCTATTACAAGAGAAATCTGATTTAAGGATAAAAAATGAAGAAAACCATAATATTACACACCGCAAAAGAAGTTTCACTTCTTTCACGTGCACCAAGCTTGCACCATTTTTTTAGTATGGTAAGACTTCGGTTATGGATACGTACGGACAGCTGGGCTACCCGGCTCACGTCCGACACGGTGCTAAATACTTACCAGAGTTCATAAACTTAACATCGAACAATACCTGCAGAAATAGCCAATTTGCTGTACCTATCTATGCGGGCTCTCAATGTCACTAGTGAATAGAAGCTGTCATCATACATAGAGCACTCAAAGAACCAATTTCGCTAGTTGCTATTTTAACCAACATAAAAAAAAAGTTTTTCTATACGACTGCATATTTTTATGTAAGTTACTTCTAAACAGTTTTTCTTGGCAAATCGATTGGGATATATATATATGTATATAATATATTTTGGAAACTGTTACTTCTAATCTAATCCTATTAGAGTTTTATCAATATTTGACTCGTGGTTTTTGAGCTATTCTTGATAATGCATATTTAATTTTAATTGTCTTCGACTACATGGACGATAACCTCATTTGATGTTGTTAAAGTGGGTTCAATTTTTATTAATATATTGTATTAAAAAAGAATACATTCTTTGTTTATTTTTGTTTTCAAAGATTGATGTGCCCCATGTCATATGACGCGCAAATCGTAATTCATGCTGCAGCAGATCCGCCGAGAAATCGCAAACAACACAACAACAACAAACTTATTTACTCCAGCTAATACCTACATCATCACACGTGTTCTAGAATTTGTAAGTATTCATACATTATTAAAATGAAATCTGTTTTTTTTTCATAGCGATTCTCCATATAATACTTTCGTTGTCTGTTAAAGTCTTCTATTTATTATTTTATCATATAATATTAAACTAGACAATATAACGAAATTACTTCAAAAGTAAGAACTAAGGTTGATACGTCTTGTCTTGATGAAGTGTTATTAAATATCTTTTTTCTATATAATATTGTGAACGTTTCATGGAACGTAAAAGGTAAAAAAATGTATGTAATTTAATTTATTTTGCTTTATGTCGATTCTGTTTGTTTTTTATTTTAGTAAATTTGAGTTAGTTTATTTTAATTTAATGTTTTAAAAACGTAGCTTAATAACATAATAATAAGAGCCAAACTAGGATTCCCTGTACTATGGGAATGAGAGATTGACAAACATAAATACTAACATATTATACGGAATGGATGCAATGCTGGTGCAGGCTAGTTCAGAACGTGTAAATAAAATTTGATTAAACTTCTTCCTAGTCGTACACTCTTGACAGAGTGGTCGTGGTCATGCATAAGTCGAATCCTGCGGTACCGATGCTCTCGCAATGCAACGCCTTGTGGCACGATGTTTTGCAGAGTGAGAGCAATCATTTATGTTGGCGTGAATCACAGATTTTATGAGGTCGGTCCATCATGTTGGAGATCGTCCGTGAGATCTTTTCTTTTTTTAATTAAACAGCAATTAAAATTAAATTTACAAAATTGATGTATTGGCGGAATTATTGTTATAATAAACCAGAACGGAGATAGATATCAACGATATTCTCTATATCTGTCCAAGATAATTTCCAATTTGTAGACCAGGATAGTTATAATGCATCCGGATTTTTGGCTATCTAATGTTGGACTAGAATTTAACTTCCTCGTTTCTCTGCTTTGGTGTCGAAAAGTAAATAAAGAATTTGCTGGATCATACTGCGGTCGCTAACCAGTATTTAACCTTACTGTATGTGATGTTGGTACGTATATTATGCCCTGCTACCAGTAATAATTCAAATATTGATGCTTGATATTTAATACACCACGGCCTTACGGACCCATCAGACCCAATAACCCTTTCATTAGACGCCTTTAGCTCTAACACTAGGAGTAGGGACCCCGGTAACCCTACTCGTCGAACTCGGCAAAGAGTTGGACGTGAAACCTAACCTAAATATCAGCCCGCTCGGATCACGATGGGATCTGGTATTCAATTATTTTGAAAACTTTTCTAAACACATAAAATTCTGAGTTGAGTAATTCTAGGCCAATAAATAAAATTTTGCTGTACATTTGATTCAAGGAGATCGGTATTTCCCTGAAAACCTCATTTTCGTTAAATTTGACTACCTGAATTTCATACCCACTTCATAATTATCATTCTCCTGCCCATCTCGCAGTCTCCTGGGGTCAGCGCAACATGTTTTCTCCTTCCATACTCCTCTATCATATACCATTTCTTCGCTCACTTCCCTCTTACACATATCGTCTTTCATGCAATCCAACCATTTTTTCTTAGGTCTACCTCTTCCTCTAATATTAATCTCGAATTTAATACACACGTATCTATTAAAATATTTTCAATCTTATAGAACGGCACAAGGAAGTGAATTAAGTCACGTCTTGTTTCCCTCGCGTGTGCGGTTGCGGGTTCGCTTGAATATTACGTATGCGAATGTAGTACGCGTCAGTTGATAACTGGGTCGCGTCAGAAATTCCAAGAACAGCTTTAATTTGTTAAAAAAGTTGTGATCAAGAGTTAGTTTTTTTTGTTCTTCCTTATTCGTTATTGAATTCCTTCTTTTGTAATTTTGTATATGAATTACTATTATGGTATGCACGTTTGTTCGTGTCACCCCTTTACCGGACGCGGGATCGGATCGGTGTGTATTTGGATATGATTCTGTCACTTACTTACTGTAACAAAATATTCGTGAGTTTAAGTAGGTTACAATTTACTAGGTTACGGTTTGGTAGGGGTACGACCCAAAAAAAACCTAAAAGATCAAAAAAATCAAAGTGTCCGTTCCTAATAGTCCCAAAGGAACAAATGTTTTCGTAAAAAAATATTTATATCTTATTTGATCTATCGAAGGACCCGCAGTCGTAGTTTCTAACATCTGTTTCCCCTACTCACTGCCACTTCATCCAAATCCTGTAGGTCATATTGATGACTTTTTTTGTATTACGAATTTTCTGATACCTGATTGCTGACGTTCATGTATTGGGATCGGAGGCAAGCCTTCTTTAGATGAGGATTCAAGAGGGCGTGATGATGGAAGGTGTTTTTAGCATTAGAAAGTAGCTCTGATTGAAAAGTTAAGTTGTGGCAGCTACAGTTGGGCATTGGTAGTGCCAATGGCAGGGGCAGGATAGTCGTTGATGACCGTTAAGAAGCTGCCGTGTTGCTTATTTTAAATGATTATTTTGAATTGTAATGAAAATAATTATATTACATAATGTAATTGGAAATTTAAACACAGAGATCAGACTATTTGTAATCATGTATTTTTATTCCACGAAAATTGGCCTTTAGTTAAACTCTGATTCAATATACGTTTGAAAATTCAATATTCCTCGCATTTCGTTTTAAGCCGTCGTAACCTAATTTTTAGTGAGGAGAACTGTTTTATTAAAAAATGATGGCTAAGTCTACCTATTCAAGTGGTAAGTATTATTGTTTTAGAACCTTAATATTCTCTAGAAGAGCAGGGGCTATAAAGCCGGTACTGTGAGGTATAATGAATACTCTTTAAGTTACCAGAGTGCCGACTTTCAGGAAAAGACTGAAAATTTACCGACAAATGTGGACACTTCAGTCCCGATTCAGCCTCAAACCGGAAACTTGTCGCGCAAGACAGACGAACCTTCTCTCATTGTCTTTATAATAGATATTTCTGTTACAATTCTTTTACGAAGTGCCATTAAAATAGTCGATAAAAAGATATGTATCTTCATAATAGTATGAGACGTATAGTAGCCACTACTTACTAAAACTACTGGTAACAGCCCAGAGGTCATGGGACTCTTCGAACTGGTAAAAAAGATAAACATAAGAACTAATCCAAACAACATTAAATTTTTCGCCGGATCTTTTTTTTTATAGCTTGACCCACCTGGTGTTAAGTGGTAATCGGAGCTCATAGATATCTAAATCGTAAATGCCACCACTCATCTCGAGACATGAGTAATAAAATCTCAGTTTTATTAGTACAACGGCTGCCCC